AATAAGCGAAACATCTTCCATCGACATGTGTGTACAAGGCATGCATTAGGGATTACTCTATAATCTCTAAGCAAATATGCCTCATTCATTCGAAGAATTGGTGACACGTGCTCATGACTTGAAACTCCAACTTGCAAGGCATGGGAGTTACTTACCAAGTGATCCATGTGACAATAAGGATCCTAAGAAGGAAATAAAGAAGGACATCCAAACGGGTAAATCCAAAGAGACTATGACGATTTCTACTATTCCTGCAAAGATAGCTTTCCGAGGGTTGAGATCGAACTCGAAACCAAAGCCAGAGTTCAGACCTAACAAAGGACAAGTCCAAAACAGAGAGCATGTGACTCTGAAAGAACTTGAAGGAAAGGAGTACCCATTCTCAGATTCTGAAGTTTCTGAAATTTTGGATCAACTCCTTGAACAGAAAATAATCGAACTTCCAGCACCAAAAAGACTCGAGGAGGCTTGTAAGATCGATCATCCTAAATACTGTAAATTTCATAGGATCATTAGTCATCCAATGGAAAAATGCTTTCTCTTGAAAGATTTTATTGTTCGCCTGGACAAAGAAAATAAGATCAAACTTGAAACTGGAGAAAATTCGATAGCTGCCTGCTCAATAGTTTCATTTGGATCATTTGATCGAATTCCGTTCCAAAAAAAAAAATTCTAATGTATACGATGCCTGTAAACCTTCAGTTAAGGAGTTTAGACCTCAACTTCCAGAAGGAGCCATCCCAATGGATTTTGAGATAGATGTGGAAGTCACTATCAGTTATGTCTATCTAGGGATGGATGGACCAAGCACACCCAATCTTCTAACCTTTTATGAAATTATGACAGGTGACTTGAATGTTTAGAATTTTGACTCAGAATCTGAAGATGAGATCGATGACGGATGGTCCACCTTCATAAACAAGAAGGAGAAATATCGAATGTCAAATAAAATAGGTAAAATATTAACTTCTATGCCTTTTGCAAAAAAGAGCTGGAGGGATTGGCTATAAAAATTCAATCCAATAAAGAGGAAACATTAGAAGAAGATCAGGGGGCATGGACCCTTGTGAAAAGACGTCGTCGAAAGGCTCCACAACTCCCAAATTCTAATGTTTGTGAGAAAAAATCAAGACCAAGGAATGACCGAAGAAGGTTTAAAACCAAATCAAGAGGATTCACTAAATCGATGGGGGTTGAAGCTGCTTCACGTATTCCTCTCAGACTGCCAACCTTGGGTGATTATTTCTCCAAGGGTTTCTTTGGTAAAGAATGTTTTACATCCAATGTTATCAATGTAGAGAAGAAAAATGAGATGAAAAATACATCCGGACAGGCTTCAAAACAAAAGAAAACTATCTCACGGCTCAATAATATTCCTGCCAATGCGAGCCTAGCAAAATCTCTTAGACTCCTTTCGATGATCGGACGACTTTGGTCACAGCGTTAATCGATCCGGAAGAATACGAAGGCAATGTTTTAGAGCATATTGGATCCACAACTCCTCAAGATTGTATGGCCGCCATAACATTTAACGATGAAGATTTACATCTGGATTCTCGTCCACATAATAGGCCACTGTATGCAGTGGTTATATTCGAGGATGCAAGATAAATCGCATAATGGTCGATTGTGGATCTGTTATGAATATTATGCCGGTCAAAATAATGAAGAATGTTGGAATTAATGTCGGTGATCTATCAAGAAACCAAATCATGATTCAAGGATTTAATCAGAAAGGTCAGCGAGCCATTTGCATGATTCGCTTGAAGCTGCAAATAGGAGAGTTAATCTCCTCAGCTCTCTTCCATGTTATTGATGCCAAAACATCATATGAGTTATTCTTTAGATGTGTTTAGCTACATGAAACTGAAGTGGTACCTTCCACTTGGCACCAATGTTTCAAATATAGCCCAGATGGAGAAGTTAAATTGTGGTAGCTAAGTCTAAACCAATCATTGCAGAAGAATCCCATTTTGCTGATGCCATATTTTATATGGAAGATGAAGAATGCAATTCTGCAGGGTTGACCATGTCTGGATTCAAAATCAAAGAAGATGCAAATAATCACGATATGTCTAGTGCTGCTCAATCTCATCAACTTATCAAAGGCAAGTCAAAATTTACATCTGAAGGATTCTCTAGAGGTAAAAAACCTCAAATAGAATCAACTGATGTTGAGGTATCGAGAAAAGAGTTAACTTTTCCAATACCTAGTATTCCAAAATTGCTTATGTCCCATCAACTCATGGCGGTCCCAGAAGAACATAAACCTACATCAGAGACTTCGGTATCCATTTTAGACATATCAAAGTTTCGTATTTCTAGCTCGTTCAAACAAGAAAGAGCTGCAGAATCAAAACAGACTCTCAAAGGATGTTAAAATCCTCAAGCTAAAAAGTTGTTTGAAATTGCCGGGTTTGGAAAAGGAGAACCTCGTAAATTAGGTGATCTTGACGCTGTCCTTTCAGGTGGACGTGTCCCTTCTAATTCTGAAGGATCCCTGATGTCTCGACCCAGGTATGGTTTGGGATATGATCCTAATCCACAGAGAAAGATTAAGGTCAAGAAGGTTTCCTAAAACCCCATCATGGTTCAAATTTATGAAGTTCCAGAAGAGGAATCATAACAACTGAGACCTTTAGTGTTTGATCGAATTGAAAATGAGAATACCAGAGTTTTGGTGTTTAAAAGGTTAAAAGGAGAACCCTCTCCAGTGGTCGACGTAAAAGGTAAAGTTTCTGTCTTCCAAAGATTAAATGAAGATTCTTCTTTTTCTACCCAAATTATTAGGAATGCACAAGCTCCCTAAATATCATCCTAAAGACAATCTGCATTTTCTTGACTTGGAATTAAAACTTTCGATCCAAGTCCGAAATCACAATGGTCAAGAAGAAGACGAAGGCATCAAAAAGTTCACTCATCTCCACAAGGTAATGAAGATAAGGAAGAAGTCTCTGTCAATCATATAACCAGTGAAGAAGCTCCCGACTCAGACTCTGGGTCCGAAAGTTTTGTTGCAACAGATGAGCTTGAACCAGCCCCACCTACCTTTAAAGAAGAGGGACAAGCTACTGTGGATGATTTGAAAAAATTGAACTTGGGAACCGAAGAAGACCCGAGACCAGTATTTGTAAGTGCTATTCTCAATCAAGAAGAGGAATTCGAGTACATTAATTTGCTTCAGGAATACAAAGATGTTTTTGCATAGTCTTACAAGGAAATGTCAAGGTTAGATCCTAAGGTTGCAGTGCATCATCTTGCTAGACATGGAGTTCGACCGGTCAAGCAACCTCAAAGAAGACTTCGACCAAAACTAATCTCTCAAATAGAAATGAAAGCCAACAAACTTATTGAAGCTGGATTCATATGCGAAGTGAAATACCCGACATAGATCGCGAACATTGCTCCTGTAAAAAAGAAAAACATGCAATTAAGAATTTGTGTTGACTTTCGAGATCTGAATCAATCATGTCCGAAAGATGATTTTCCGCTTTCGATAACAGCGTTGATGGTGGATACAACTACCGGGTATGAAATCTTATCTTTCATGGACGAATTTTTTGGATACAACCAGATATGGATAAACCCAAAAGACGAGGAGCTCACATCATTTGGTACCCCTAAAGGCATATATTGTTACAAAGTTATGCCTTTTGGATTGAAAAATACGGGGGCAACCTACCAGAGGGCAATACAAAAGATTTTCGATGATATGTTGCATAAGACCGTGGAATGTTATGTAGATGATCTTGTTGTTAAAACAAAGAGATGTGACGATCATTTACACGATTTACATAATGTTTCCAAAGGACTTCGAAGACATCAATTGAAGATGAATCTATTGAAATGTGCATTTGGTGTCACCTTTGAGAAATTTCTCAACTTTGTTGTTCGATATTGGGGCATTGAAATAGATCAATTAAAAATTGATGTCATAATCAACATGCCAGAGCCAAGAAATGTATGTGACTTGAAAAGTCTTCAAGGAAAACTTGCATACATTCGAAGATTTATCTCTAACCTGGCCGGACGATGTCATCCATTCAACAAATTGGTGAAGAAAGATGTACCATTTGAGTGGGATGACGCTTGTCAAAATGCTTTCCAAAGCATTAAAAAATATTTGTTTTGTCCACCGATACTCCCAGCTCCAGTCCCAGGAAAATCACTGACTCTTTATGTTGCAGCACAAGAATATTCTCTAGGAGCACTTCTTGTCCAAGTCAACGATGAAGGAAAAGAGAATGCACTCTCTTACTTAAGCCGAACACTGGTAGGCGCTGAAACGAAGTATTCACCTATTGAAAAAATATGCCTTGCATTAAACTTCGTAGCTAAAAGGTTGAGACATTATATGCTATCACACACAGTCAATCTCATTTCGAAGATTGACCCATTGAAGTACATAATGTCTAGGCCGATTCTCTCTGGAAGGATTGGAAAACGGGCAATACTATTGTCTGAGTTTGATATCAAATTAATTCCAAAAAAGGCTATTAAAGGACAAGCTTTGACAGATTTCCTTGCTGACCACCCAATTCCAGTGAAATGGGAACTTCAAGAAGACATTCTCGATGAGGAAGTTCTATTCACCGAAGTCATACCATCTTGGAGGCTATATTTCGATGGGGCAGTCCAAAGTTATGGTGCCCGAGCAGGAGTAGTCTTTATCACTCCACATGATCTCGTCATGCCCTACTCTTTTGCCTTAACAGAGAAATGTTTAAACAACGTGGTGGAATATCAAGCCCTTATCCTTGGTTTAGAAGTGGCGTTAGATATGAATATTCACCAGCTGGAAGTCTTTGGACATTCAAAATTGATAATCAACCAACTTTTAGTTGAGTATGAAGTCCGTAATTCAGACTTGAAGTCATATCTTGAATATGCATCAATGCTTATAAGATGATTTGATTCGGTAAAAATCAAATTCGTCCCGAGAAGTAAAAATAGGGAGGCTGATGCCTTAGCTAATTTGGTCGCTATTTTAGCTAGGTCAAATGGAGACTTCTCTCCCTCCATATCAATTGCTCAAAGATGGGTACTTCCGTCATTGCTGCCTTGTAATTTGGAAGAAAATAATAGTGCTGAAGTAGTTGAAGATGAAGAAAGAAAAGATTGGAGATAGCCAATAATTGATTTTCTTCAACATTAAAAGCTACCACCAGATAATCTGCAGCGAAAAACTGAAATCAAGAGATGTGTCTCTCGCTTTATCTTTTACAAGGGAATACTTTATCGACGATCATTTGATGGAGTTTTCCTTCGATGCCTAAGTGATGACGAAACAACATAGGTCGTGGAAGAAGTCCACTTTGGAATTTGTGGTGCCCATCATTCTGGACCCAAACTCTATTTTCAAATAAAGAGGATGGGGTATTACTGGCCAACTATGGTACAAAACTCCATGGATTATGCAAGAAAATGTTAAGCTTGCCAAGTACATGGGAATTTCATCTATCAACCTCTGGAACTATTACATCCGATAGTAGCTTCATGGTCGTTTGATGCATGGGATCTTGATGTAATTGGACCTATAACTCCAAAGTCTTCAGCAAGGCATGCATACATCATCGCCAAAACTAACTACTTCTCTAAGTTGGCCGAAGCCGCACCATTGAAGGAAGTAAAGAAAGAAAATGTCGTAGATTTCATTCGCATCCAAATCATTTATCGATATGGTGTCCTGCGGCATATCATAACTGATAATGGCAAAACATTCTGCAATAGCCACATAAACAATTTGTGTACAAAGTTTGGGTTCAAACAGTACAACTTGTCCATGTACAATTCTCCAGCTAACAGATTAGCAAAAGCGTTCAACAAAATGCTATTCAGTCTGCTAAAAAAGGTTGTCTCCAAATCAAAAAGAGATTGGCATGAAAAAATTGGTGAAGTCTTATGGGCTTATCGAACTACTTATCGGACTCCAACACAAGCTACTCCTTATGCCTTAGTATATAGGGTGGAAGCTGTACTTCCTCTGGAGTGTCAAATCCCGTCACTTCAAATTGCCATCCAAGAAGGTTTGACAACTAAATAAAATGTTCATCTTCGATTGGAAGAGTTAGAAGCTTTGGATGAGAAGATGTTAGAATCACAAATGCACTTGGAGTGCTATCAAACTCGAATGGCGAAGTCCTTCAACAAGAAGGTGTGACCTAGGTCATTTCAAGTTGGAGATCTGGTGTTTTCTGTGCGTAGGCTGATCATAATCACAAGAAAAATAGGGGCAAGTTTCAATCTAAATGGGATGGTCCATTCTTGTTACTTATGCATTCACTAACGGAGCATACAAGATCGTCGAGAAGGATGGACTGCAAATCGGACCTATCAATGGAAAATTTTTAAAGCATTTTTACGCCTGAAGTTCTTTATTTTTAAAAATTTTCATTGTACCAAAAAAAAATTATGTTCTTGTAATGAACTACGTTTAACTTGATCCCGTTTGGGTACGTAGGCAGCTTAAATAAATTATAATTTCAAGTTCAATCACAACTAATAAATTCATTGAATTTGTTTACCAGTTGCTGTAATAAAAAAATAAGAAACACAAGAAACATGAAAAAGAAAAGTTCATCCAAATAAAAAATAGCAAGTCAAAATACAATATAGTCTCAAAAAAAAGATTAGAAATTCTTGACTTCGTTAGGGCCACTTGCAGGAAACTATCTTCAAGGGTCTTCTTTTTCTGATCAATGGATGCTATGCTAATGACATCTCTTGTATGTACTTCTTCCAATGCTACCTTCTTGATTCCAATCATACTTTTCTCATCCTCTTGGGCTTGAAGTTCATCACAAAGTCTATCTAGCTCAAAGATTAGCTGACTAATTTTGCCTCTCAAAGAACACGTGGAATCCTTTACTCCCAACTGAATGTTCAAAGTTTCAACTGCTCAGCCTTTTCTTCGACGGTTGAACAATTCAAGTGTTGCTTTCTTTTAGTTAAGTAAGAGTCGACTTCTTTCAGAAACACATCCATGCGCTTCATCAAAGGCATTGGGTCTATGTGGAATGAGTTGGTAATTACGTCTTAAAGAATTAAATTATTTTCATCCCACCAAGATCGAATGTTGGAGAATCCATATTTCAAGACATCCTTAAAACAGTTTTGAAGGTAATTAGTCATGACTTCTTACAAAACAGCCTTCACATAAGGAGAATCTTAGGTAATTCTAGATGGAGGACCAGACATAAAAGAACAGATTGGTATAACCCAATGATTATTTGTCTGTGAAGACGGGATACTAACTAAAGCCGATGAAGATGGAACGACAGAGACTCCTTGATTGATCTCTGAAAATTAGTTCTCACAATCCCTGAATCTACTTCATCTTCAGCATTAAAATTGTCCATGATAAGCACTGAAGTACCTCCATTGATAGTGCCCGAATATTTGCAAGGAGGATCATGAGAATCATGAATACCATTTATTCCTTGAAGTGCATTGATTCGCCCGTCATTCTCGTCAGTCTGATCTTGCAAAAATCTTGGATTCATGGAGAAATTTAGTTCTTCAGGAATACTTAGAAAACTTACAAAAATGAAGTATGATTTCAAAAAAAAAAAAGGTGCAGCAAACAAAAACAAGGAACATACCTGCATTTCGTGCCTTAGGCGACATGTCTCAAAATTCACCGTCTGATGGTGTGTTCGGGAGGCTGATGTTACTATGAGAAGTTCCAACCTCACCTTTTGAAAGACTCGGAATAGCTTGAAGTGGCCTCGGTTCTACCGGTCGTTTGATTTTGTATAATCAAGAAAGAAGAGCCTAAAATTGAAGATTGTGACAGAAATCAAATACAAGCATTACGATAAAAAAAAAAAAAAAGAACTATACTTGATCTCTAGAACTTTCATCTTCTAGAGTCAAAGTCTATCTTAGTGCTTGTGATGCTCGATCTTCAGGACTACTGTGATCTAGACTCAGAATTGCTTCTAGCACCTTATTAGCAGGCTCAGAGGTGGCAACAATATTTGTCGAGGGAACTATAATTTTGATTTTCTTAATACCTCTTTCATTTTGTTGGTTTGGATCCCTCTTTCGAGAAGCCTCTTCAGGAGCAACATTTAGAGGGTTAAACCCTCTAACTAAAACCCTGTTCGGAGTCGGGTCAAGAACAAAGTCACGACTTTCACTAGAAAATAAGACTTGTACCTGGACCTTGGTCAAGAGTGATAACACTTCGCTATTCCACCAACCCTGGTATTCAACATCAACGTTTTGATGTATATCACTGACATACTTTGAAATATGAAATACAGATTCACTTTTAATCCAAGTCAAGGACAACCAAATCCGATACATGTCGCCTACATTGGGGGCAATATTCAACATTCTTGGTGAACCAAAAAGTTTCTATCTAAAGCCAAACTGTCTCGCAAACCTGTGAGAACCTCAAGAATGAAAGATGAATTTCTTGACGATAAAAAATAAATCCAGATTGAAAACTCATCATGAATTTTGAAGTATCTGCAGACCTCGGTTAGTCATCTAGACATACATTAGGATGAGACGATGAGGGTAATGGATTCCAGCAAAAGTCACTGGTGTTCATCGCTCCATGGATAAATTCTCAACAATCAACAACATTTTTCTCCCAAGACTGAAAAGCATTCAGATGCCAGCATATCTTCGAATTATAGGGCAAGAATAACTCTTGTCCACATGAGCATAAATACCTCGGACAAAATAAGTTGCCGCCCAAGCGTGAAAAAAATGTCCAGGAAATGAATGTGAAATTGAGCCAGGTCTGGGTTTGTCTAATAGTTAGATATTCGTGTAAGTCCACTATAAATGATCGCCAATATGGGTGGGACCAGGCTATAAGTGTATCTGCCTGCGATCCTAGAAGATGCTTTAGAAGTCCCGGCTCTTATACTTTCATCCCCAAATGAAAGAATGAAGCGACAAAGCCATAGGGAGAGATATGCTGCTATCTCTAATTCTTCTTCTTCGTCCATAGACTGAGATACTAGTATATTGCTCCAAACATCGATCCTTACGAGTAATGTCTCTCGGCTTGTCTGCCACCATGGGCCTCCGTATTTCCTTCGATGCTCTTTGATGACGTCTCTTGAATGGATTTAAATTTATAGCATTCTTATAATTTTTGTGTTACCGAGGATTCTGGACACAATCATTCTTCTAAAACCAAAAATTAATTCACTATTCGTGAGTAACCCTGTCAGGTTCATTCACATGGACAATCAATGCGAAAATATTAAAGAGGTATAGACAAGACTTGGGAAGATGATTCGTCAACTCTGAAAAGCTTGGAACTACTTCCTCATAGTAGTGACCCATAATCGAAAGTCCACTTATCTCGCGGATGTCCCAAAGAGAAATGCCAATTTCACCATTGGCAGTCACAAAGGTGTTGGTCTCTGGACACCAAACCTCACAAAGAGCCCTATAAATAGAGTTTGAGCGATGGTAATCTTTTATAGCAGAACTGACTGCAAAAGCTACTTCGCGAAGGTTCCTCTTGAGTAGAAGTTTCTAGACCCACAAAAACCACTCCCAAAATTTTGGAAGAAAAGAAATCTCTCCTCGACTGACCAGTGCGCTTCTCCATTGTATTTCTCTATTATCAATCTTCTCACAAATCACAGCTCTTGGAATGTATTCCATGTTCTGGGAATGATGAGACGGAAGACACAAAAAGGGAAAATGACTACTAGAGCGGTTAGACTTGCTAGTATCTAAACTTTCGTGACATTCACTAATGGTGTGTATATGCAACTCGGACAATGGCTCCAGAAGATCAGGGGAAGGATCTGTCATTGACTTATGGACATTAAATTTAAGTTCACCCCGTATGCCAGTCTGGGTATGGTACTTCACATTAGTATCTTTGAAACGCAGATAACTTTTGCCTTGATTTTTAAGCTCAGCAATTTCGTGTACGTTAGAGTACATTTTATCATCAGAATTTGTTCCAGTCATGTCTGCAAAAAAAAAAATGTTAGCTAAAAAAATGGAGGTAATAAACCCCTCAAATTGGTTTATTATCTAAAATCCCGAGTCTCCCAAATATGTAAGCAACCTCTACAAAAAGTGTCTTGGACGGTCGAAGGAATAGGTCCTTGATCCCAAGCATGAAGTGCCTTGGACGGTTGAAGGAGCGAGTCCTTGATCCTCAACACAAAGAGTCTTGGAGAGTTGAAGGAGCCAGTCATTGTTCCTCAACACAAAGTGTCTTGGATGGTTGCAGGAGCTAGTCTTTGGTCCTTAACACAAAATGCCTTGGACAATAGAATGAGTCGATCCTTGGTCCTCAACAAAAAGTGCCTCGGACGGTCGAAGGAGTCAGTCCTTGGTCCTCAAACAAAGTGTCTTGGACAGTTGAAGGAGCCAGTTCTTTGTTCTCAACACGTCCTTGGTCTTTAACACAAAATGCCTTGGACAGTTGAAGGAACCAGTCCTTGGTCCGTAACACAATACTTTGGACGACAGAAGGAGCCGATCCTTGGTCCTCAACAAAAAGTGTCTTGGACGGTCGAAGGAGCAAGTCCTTAGTCTTTAACACAAAGTGTCTTGGACGATAAAAGAAATAGGTCCTTGGTTCTCAACACAAAGTGCCTTGGACGATCGAAGGAACAGGTCATTGGTCTTCAACACAAAATATTTTAGACGATCAAAGGAGCAGGTCCTTGGTCCCTAACAAAAAGTGCATTGGATGGTGAAAGGTGGCAGTCCTTAGTCCTCAATGTATATGAATGTTTGCAATTTTAAGTTTGTTCATAAATATATCTGAACTTACAAAATAATTGTGACATGAAGATTTAACCTCTACCAAAAAAAAAAAAAAACTCAAATCTCAAAATCCTGGATTCACTCCAAAAGTTGAACCCCTGCAAAAGAAAAAAAAAATATGTTAGTTCCAATTTTGTTAAAACAAAAATACAAAAACAAACATAATATTAACAACAATAATCAACAAAAAAGGGATTTAAATAAAAAGACAATTCTAAAAAATGGAACTAGAACAAGAAGAAAGAAAAAAAAAAGTTACGTCAAAAAAAAAAAAGAAAAAGG